TTTTTATTTGCAACCCCTTTCCTCCTCCTCTGCAGCCAACCACGGGAACTTCCTGCTCACGGGCGCCTACGACAACACGGCCAAGATCTGGACCCACCCTGGCTGGTCCCCTCTGAAGACACTGGCAGGGCACGAGGGGAAGGTGATGGGCCTGGACATCTCCCTGGATGGGCAGCTCATTGCCACCTGCTCCTACGACAGAACCTTCAAGCTGTGGACAGCTGAGTAGCTCAGAAGGGCTGGTTATGAACTGGGTTAATGGTTTTCAATTGCTTTTTTATATTAAAAAAACCCCCAGGAATCAGCAGTTCCAACCTGTGTCCAGCAGCTGCAGTCACGGCTGCTCTGGGGGTCAGGTGTGTTTGAAGCACCAGTGTTGGCCAGGGCTTGGCTGGAGTCAGCTCTTGGGTGATGTTTTCCCACTTTTAGGACTGGTTTTATACTGCAGACACCACTTCCTGCTGTCACTTGGAGATGATCCATCTGCTGCCACCCTCCCTCCCAAGCCAGGCTCCCAGGTGTCCTCCAGCCTGTGTTAAACAATTGCAGTCCCCACAGAGCACCTCAGGGTTGGTGTGTGGTGCAGCCTCTGTTCCTGCCCTTCTGACCTCCCTGTTCCTGAGCCTTTGGTAGAGTCTGCCTGCAGACTGGAGTTGCATTTAGGGACAGGCAGAGGAGCTGTCAGAGGGGGAGGTTGTGTCCCCCTTCCCCGCCTCGGCAGGGGTGTCCCTGGATGGAGATCTGCATCCCCTTGGATTCACTCACGGGAATGAGTGAATCCTGGCCTCCCCAAGGCCAGGGAGGTTTTTCTTTCCCTTGTACCACCTCATGTCCCACTCCTTGGGCTGTCCCATGGACTGGGAGTTGCAAATCCCTGTGGGCATTTCCTGTTTTCAGTTCTGCTGTGTCTCACCCCAGGTGATACAAAGGTCATTCAGTGTGGGATTGTCTTGTTCTACCTTACCCTGTGGGGACCTTTCCTACTTCTTGTTTGTTCTTTAAACTGAGGTTTTGCAAATGTTTTGTCCTGGAAAATCAAAACACGTTTTGGATGTGCATCCTGGGCTGTGAGTCTGACTAAGGAATGGAGGAATTACAGGAATTTCACAAAACACAGTTTGATTCCTGTCTGCTGTTGTAAAAAACAGCTGAGGAGAGGTGAGGACATGGGGTTTGTTCACCCTGGAGAAGGGGAGGCTGAGGGCAGACCTCAGGGGTCTGCAGGTTCCTCATGGGGGGCAGCTCTGATCTCTGCACCCTGTGAGCAGGGACAGCACCCAGGGAATGGCTGGAGCTGTGTCAGGGCAGGGTCAGGTTGGATCTCAGGGAAAGGTTCTTCCCCCAGAGGGTGGTTGGCACTGACCAGGCTCCCCAGGGCAGTGGGCACAGCCCCAAGGCTGCCAGAGCTCCAGGAGGGTTTGGACAATGCCCTGAGGGACAGGGTGGGATTGTTGGGGTGTTTGTGCAGGGCCAGGAGTTGGACTGGATGGTCCTGATGGGTCACTTCCAGTTCAGGATATTCTGTGATTCTATAAAAACCTTCAGGAGAAAAGAGAAGACGATTGCTCTCCCTGTTTTCAGCTGGAGAGCAGCTGTCCATGGTCCCTGGGAAGGTGAGCACAGTTCTGTTCCCAATGCAATGTTCCCAGTGCAGTTGGAGATGGTGTGTTAAGAAAAAACCAAACCCCAAACCCCCTCCTAAGTTACTTTTCTTCAAGCAGAGTGTTGAGGGCTTTCTCATCCCTTCCAAGCACCACGTGCCAGCTCTTGGTGCCTCCCAGGGAAAATAGTAGGGGAAGAAAGGCCAGCAAGTAACACAGAAGAATATTTAATCACAGTCTCCTCTGGTCCAAGCCTGGACATCAGCTAAAGTGCTACAGTGTGTCCCCCTTGGCTCCTCACAGCTTGTCTGCTCCCTCTGCCCCATCCTGCGCTGCAGGGAGGGTTTGTAAGGAGAATGCCTCGTGCATCCAGGGTTTGGCTTTTCTCCTGGACAGCTCCTCACAAACCACCCGGGGAGTCCCCCTGCCCTGCTGCTCGGGCACATGGTCCCTGTGCCCGTGGGCAGGGGAGGCTCTGGGGGTCCCATCCTCTCGGGGGCTGGTCTGTGTGGGGTCCCTGGGTCTGTGTGGAGGTCCCTGGGTCTGTGTGGGGGTCCCTGGCTCAGAACGCTGCCGGGGGCTGGTCTGTGTGGGGTCCCTGGGTCTGTGTGGAGGTCCCTGGGTCTGTGTGGGGGTCCCTGGCTCAGAACGCTGCCGGGGGCTGGTCTGTGTGGGGTCCCTGGGTCTCTGTTGGGGTCCCTGGGTCTGTGTTGGGGTCCCTGGGTCTGTGTGGGGGTCCCTGGGTCTGTGTTGGGGTCCCTGGGTCTG